GCCTTTTGGTTGCTCTCTTACATCCTTCAATGCCGCCATCAAACTGATATGCAACACAGGCCAACTTTTACCTATCCATTCCTGAGAGTGCTAGTGAGACACCTGAATGTGTTCCCCACTTTGCATCTGAGGGTCAATTTTTGGTCTCACATGTGCATTAGTGTATAAGTAATGAACCAGTGCTGCTTTTCTTTTTTAATCATCTGAAATTGATTTATAAGTACAGTATATTGTCTGGGGCACACTACTGTAGCTGGAGCACAGAAGATCAATATTATTATATTTCACATTGCATTTAGGACTGTTGGGGCTACAACTCTTCGCCAATGCTTTGTGAAAATGCATGTGTCACTGCTAAAACTACCTAAAAGAGTTAATTTGTTTCCCCTAGAACAAAAAAGATGGTATACTTACCTGCTCTGTGCCATGGTATTGAACAGAGAGGTCCCAAATCTCTGCTTCTGGAGCTGGCGCTCTTGTCTCCTCCTCTTCTCCGTGCACCACCATAGGAAGCCTATCAAGGAACGAGAAGATCGCCACAGCACATGAATCTGCGCATGCGCAGGATTCCGACAAGGCATACAGGCAGGCGGGCACTAGGACCCACCGATGACGGTTCCGGGCAGACACTAGGACCCGGCACGCCTGTTATTTAAAGAGCACCTTGGTGCTGATTCAGTGTTGACTGGTCTTTCAGCTCCCCCCATGTCCTGCTAGTTGCTGACGTTCTCTTTGTTGCTGACCCGGCTTGTTCCTGACCCAACTCTGATTGCTCTCCTGCTCCTGGTTCCTAAATTTGGCTCTGCTCCTGACCTTGACTTTCTCTTCTGATTCGGTACTGCACTGCCCGACTGTTTATGACCCTGGCTTGTCTGACCCTGCTCCAGTCCTGTTCCTGGCTACCTACCTTGCTCTGCTGCACATCTGGCAATCCACAGTACCTACCTACTCTATTGCTACTGTGCCCTAAATCAGTGGATACTCAGTCTACCAAGGCCATCATCTGCAAGAGCCACAAGCAACAACTCCTGGTGCTCTTGTCCCCCTGGTCCCTAAACTCCCCCTGTTCCAACCTCAGTGGGATCAGGGCTAGGGACACAAGTGAGGCCAACCTTGTCAACTCAGTCTCCCATCAGGTTCGTGACAAAGCCGCTTGTCCATAGACACACATAGTGCGGCTGAGCCCTGCCCCCTGCTCTCTACTCACAGGAATTGATTGACAGGAACCAATAGCCTCCCTGCCCTATGAATGCAGGGAGAAAGCAGCTACAAACAGGCAAATCACTGTTTCAAGTGAAAACTCAGGTAAGTATTTAGGAGGAGAACAACACAAATACTAGAAAAACATTAAAGTAAAAAATGTCATGCCTTTAAACCACTCTACCTAAATGATTCCTATAATAGTAGATGAAGGTGCTGCTGCTGTTTGTAAGCAAAGCCACTTGTAAAAGAGACAATTATTAAATTCCACAGTCAATTACAATATGTGCTGCCAAAGTAGTACACAATCACTGAAGCTGTTCCTGAAATTCAGTAGTTCCAAAATACTATGTACAACTTAGGCTCCATGCACACTAGCATTCTTTACAAGCTCTAAAATCGCTAGAAAAAATGCCGGATGAAAAACTCTGATAGCGCTCATAATCGCTTCCAGGAGCTTAAAAAACACTAGTGCGTATGAAGCCTTACAGGCAAACCCAACCAATTTAAAGGAGTTGTTTGTTTCCCTTGTTGCCCTCAAAGTTAAATAAAAATTATCCTTTCCCACTGTACATTTTAAAAAATTTTAAAGACTTTTACCAATAGATTGACTGGTATGTCTACAAATGATAATACATTATCAAAAATGGCCCTCCACTAAGTTCAATTAAATTTACACAAAAGTTTGAATTTGCAGAACATTTGGCAGAATTGGTTTAACACCAGGTACATCAAATTTTGACAAAAGTTGCTCATTACATATCACAATGGAAGCATTGTTACATTGTCTTAAAGTAGGTAGCTAGGTGGCAAGAGAGAAGCATGGGGTCTCATAATGGGCTGTTAAAGGATCCAAAGAATTCCTTAACCAATTAACTTCTGCGTATGGATCTGTATGTAACTAGCAGCAACCAGCATCTACTTTGGTATCCTGCATTCCAGGGCTTGTTATGTCACACAGTAGTGTGATCAAAATATATTTTTATTGAATTAAATTAATTTCTTCCTGTTTAAAATATAACTTTTTTCTTAATTCTGCATTTTGTACTTGCAGGTTTTGTAACACACAGCAGAAGTAAAATTAAGTGAGAAAGTGTGTAAACCTTATACAAGTTTAAAAGCATGTTATTCACCTCATTTCTTTCTTTATTGTTCTTGCTATTATATTTTGTATGTGGAAATAACTTGAAAATCTTGGAACTCTTAATTGCATTCAACATAATCCAGAAATAAAAGTAAATTTTTACAAATATGGAATACACACAAACACATGCAATCACAAGAAAAAAGTAAATAGTAAAGGCCAAGGTAGCAATAAACCAGCAGCTGGAACCATAACCTCCTCACCAGTCTCCTCCCTAGCAGGGGCGGACTGACAACTCATGGGGCCCCCAGGCAATAGGAGATCATGGGGCCCCTGTGTCCTTGCCCAAACTCAAAAAAGCCTATGAAAAAGGTACCAGGGGCATCTCATGGGGTCCCCTACTGATCCCGGGCCCTCGGGCAGTGCTCGAGTTTCCAAATGGTCAGTCCGCCCCTGGTCCCAAGTCAACATTTTTAAGCTGATGCACCAGTGAAATCTAAAAGACCATCATTTAAACCACAGCATGGCTCAAACTAATTGAGAATTTTCAGCCTACCATGATGCAATTAATTGGATCTTGCTGTTAATTTGATATTGGAATGTTAGTGAAAGGAGAAGAGAGCAGATTGATTATCTCATCAAAATAGGCACTCCTTCACTGTACAGTTATCAGCCCAGAGCAGGTTGCAGTCCAAATTGTATTGTTTAACTAAAGCGGTGAAAAGTGTGGTCAATAACCCGGGTGAAAGACAATGGAAAGAGTGCACTCACCGATGGGAAATGCGTCATATAATAAATATCCCCTGGAATCTTATGGAAATGAAGAGAATAAGGTAAATCATTCAGCCTGGAGATGTGTGAGAAAAGTCCGGAGATCCCCTTTACAGATGGTATGGTAATCAGCCAGGATCCAGAGCTCAGTCCCTCCGGTGGTGGTAAACACACACTACAGAATCCTGCAAATGGATTTAGCTCCCAAACAGGAACACCAGATTATCTGGAAGAATATTCATTGTGCCTACTACCCTGTATTTTACATTTTTTATTTATTAAAATTGGTTTGAATGTACTACACTATGGGCCTAAATCAGGATTAGTGTGCAGGAGGGACTGAGCTCTGGACTGTAAAGGGGATCTCCGGACTTTTCTCACACATCTCCAGGCTGAATGATTTACAGAGTTGGAGCTTATTCTCTTCATTTCCATAAGATTCCAGGGGATATTTATTATATGCGCATTTCCCATGCGCGTTATGCGCACTCTTTCCATTGTCTCCGGGCTTCACCAGCTATTCCTTGGGATTCGTTAATATATACATCTATTTAATTATTACAGACTTTTTTCGTTTGTATTTTTTAGCGCTGCACTGTTTTTATCTGTTATTTGTGGGTATACTGTGATTACCTTTAGTGCCAACTGCTTACTTAGGGCGCTCACTTTATACATTTACATTAACCCGACTATCCTGTTTAGTAGGGTGACTAGATCACAAGACTAAACCTAAAGATCCATTGGCAGGTGATACAGTTCCCATGTATGCATTTCAATGACCATTATACTGTTAACTTGGACATAAGCATTAAATATAGCTATTTGATCAATCTTTCTCAACCAGGGTTTCATCAAACCTTTGGGTTCCTCCAAGGTTTCTTGAGGTTCCCTAAGAAGTGAACAGTGGCATGCTAATCTCTTCTCTGACCGTGCCTGCATAATCATTGCACCAATGTCACTCTTGGACCAGTGTCCTCTAGTCTCTCAATTAAATAACCACCAACTCCAGCGATTCTTTGAGCTGTCTGTAAGAGTGCATTATTTGCATTGGCCATCAAAGCAAGAGGGCACTAAACTCACAAGGGATGAACGTTCTACTGCATAGCAATGTAATAGAACATTCTTTCCACTAACACCATATGTAAGAAGACACCTTTTTTTCACTGACTATTAATGTAAGGGATCATTCTTCTTATAATTAGCAATCTAAGGAGATACCTTTCCCACGGACCCCACATCTAAGGGTGTGCTTTTTTCACTGACCATCAATATAAGGGGGAACATTTCCATTGACCAATAATATATTAGGGTATTTCTACTCTGACCACCAATGTAAGGGAAATTTTCACCACCCACCAGCAATGTAAGGCATTTCTTTGCTAAACACCAGTGTAAGGAAGTGGAGGAAGGAATGTGGGGATCTGCATCTATTTGGTACAGTAAATGTTCCTTAAATCAGTGTCAAATACAACAGAGCAAATGTTTTCAGCAGCTCTTGGAAGGAAAAGGGGACACTTCTCCAGTGATCATCAATGTATGCTTTTTTTCCCCTAATCACTACAGTAAGGAGACAATACCGTTTTCACATGTCTGCAATTCTGTTATTTGTTTCATTTGATAATTATTGGTGAAAGTGTTGTTGTATAAAGCTTTGTGTGTATTCAGTAAACAGTATTATCAGTCCCACATGCTGGAAATTAAATGTGAATGTTATTTTCATCAATTTGTGTAGGTACTCCTTTTGTGATACACTCCACATCACCTCCACCATAAAATTCTCCACTCCAGGTATGCTCTCACCTTAACCTCCCTGGCGGTATTCCGGAGTGTAGCTCGGGGTAAAGTTTCAGTACCAAAAGCGGTAACCCCCGCGCTACACTCGGGCTTACCATGTGGCGTTGCTCAGGGATTCCCTGCAGTGCTTACCTTGTCCTTCGCTCCCGCGATGCGTCTCCTGCAGCATCCCCGGCCATCTCCTCCGGCCGATGCCGGCATCCGGCTTCCGTGTTCCGGTCCCTGCGAGTGTCGGGACGTACGAGGGCTGGAACAGCGGCAAATTTAAAAATTTTTTGAAATTGTCTTTTTCTTAGAAATGAATTTAACATAGTAAAACATTACTGTATCAAACCATTTCACATACATTTTGTCCCTACTGCTTTGTCCTGTGCCCTGCCTGCATTTTGACTGTTTTTTCTGCTTGGAAACTGAGAAATGTCCATGGCATCCAAAAAGCGGTTTTAGACCAGCTAGTAGTAAATCAGAACCACTTGCAGAATTGAGTTATAATGATTTGTGGGGAAATTCATCATCAGACACTGAAAACGATTTTGCGACTTTGTTTAGTGATGTGCGAACTTGGCGCTATATTTCAAATTTCAATGTTTTTGGTTTGATTATATTATTGAATTAAATGTATTATTATTATATTATTATTTTTATGATTATTTATTAAATTATAATTTATGATTTTGTGTTTCAAATTTTAGCATACCCGGAATGTTTACTAGACTCTTGGTCAGACAGATTTCAGTGAGTTATTCCTAAAAATTACAGGCCTACAATAAAAAAAATACATATTTCCATGCAAAAAAATGGTTACACTTTCAGCACCAAAAATCTGAAATAATCATACCGCCAGGGAGGTTAAAGAAGAACTCTGGGCAAAAAATGTATTTTCCCATGCAGTGGGGTTGTGCCTGCACAGCATGGGTTAACTGCTTGTTTTTTTCTAGGGGGATTCAAGAATGGAGATATCCTTACCTAATCCGATTCTCCGAGAGCAAGACTGGTCTCCGCCATACATTAGTGGTCTTGTGAATGGACTGTTCCTGACGTCATTGCACTTATAGACTGGCTGTGGACTTGGGGACGGCAAGAACAGTCCACTACTGGATGTGGGGAGCACTGTTTTCCAGAGGATAGAATGATCGGGTAAGTATAGCCTTGCAGTGCGCCCCTGGACAAAATGGGCAAATACGTGTTACTGAAGGGAAGACATTATTTTTAATTAAAATAACAAACATGTTACACTCTTCTACTCTGTGAAGTGGTATTGCACAGAGCAACCCAAACCACCTCTTCTTGGGTCTCCCCGCTGGTGATCTTGGCTCCTCCTCTTATTCGTGTGTACCCATAGCAAGCCATTTGCTATGGTGGTACACAGTGTCTGGCACAGCCCCACTGTATGGGAGAAAAGAAAATTCATTCAGAGTTCTTATAAGATATGACCTGAATATTAGAAAAGCAATATACAGCCTTTTCCCCTTCATGGGGTTTAGAGGTTTCTGATACTGTCCACTTCCTTTCAGTCACTCAAAATACAAAAATTATGCACTCTACCTATCAAATACCCAATATATGCCAAATTCTTAAGTCTTCCTTGAGATATGAAAAATATTCAAGAGTTCTTCTATAACACGGCTGAGAAAGTCTATAGAGCATGATCTCAATGCCTGACCTTTATTTATGAGCAATATATATATATAGACAGAGATCAATTTGGCATAGTAACATGTTACAGATTTTGCAGCATTCTTGTCTGATTGATGTGCAGTTTATCTAGTTGCATTGTGGGAAAAAAACAAATAACCTTTCCTGTCAATCTTTTAGTTGTTCTGAATATAATGGTGACCTATGTGCCATGTGGCGCCAGTTCTGTCCTGTGCTCCAAATTTATTAACCTAATTAGTAATGGCAGTTTTAAAAATGCATGATATATTAAACAAGAAAAGCAGTTACTTTTAGCTAACAACAAAAAAGTAAAAAGAAAAGAATTTCAAAGAAATTGCATGGCTTTCCTCCAGTTTCTCCTGTGTACCCCTACAAGACTTTATGGGTCTTAGACAGTAGTAGTTCTACGTACACTGTTAAAGTGGTATTAAACCCAAAACCTAAAATGTAATATATTTCAACTCACTAATCCTTAGATGTGGTGGCTGCATTAGGTTTTTTTAGGCCTTTTTTTTATCTGGTGATCCAGCCAATAACTAGTGATGGGCTGAAAACCTGTTTGGTTCGTGGTTGAACTTTAGCCAGTCATGGCTCTCACAGTTCATTGTGCTGTGACTGGCCAAAGCATTGCACCTGACCTGTGGTCAGGTGCATTGGTTTGGCCAATCACAGCTCTCAAAATGCACTGTGAGAGTGCGGTGCAACTCGAACATCAAGCCCAATACTACAAATAACACACTTGCTGTGTTAGAATGCCCACATTCTGGGTGAAAGAGCAACAGAGACACATTTGGGTTAGCAGCATCATTAATTTGGGGGGAGAGTGCTGTTAGATTGGCTAGCAGATTTAGATGTACTATCAAATTGAATTTTCAGATAACACTTTTCAAGCAGTTATAGCAACAGTTGTTTTTTTTTGTTTTTTTTTGGGGGGGTGAAGGTTTTACATGAACAAAAAAAAACTCATTATTGTAAGCACCTCTTCCAGTGGTAATTGGTTTCTCTCAACTGTCTAACTACTACAGCTGCAGGACAGCTCGGTTCTGTAGAAACAACAGACTTACTTGCAAGATCATCAGGTGAAAATAAAGAAAAGGCAACTTACAAAAAGAAAACTAATGCAGTCATCACATCTAAGAATTGGTAAGTGTATGTCTGAAAAAACATGTTATAACGCTGGGAGGTGGATGTGCCCTGTAATCCCAACATCTTAAGCTGGCCACACACGGAGGTTTATTTACCAAATGGAAGAGTGCAAAATCACCCTCACGTCTGCACAGAAACCAATCAGCTTCCAGGTTTTATTGGCAAAGCTTAATTGAATAAGCTGAGGTTTGAAGCTGATTGGTTCAATACAGAATTGAGCCTGACTATGCACTCGTAAATAAGCCCCACTGTTATTTTATTTATTTATGTAGCACTACCCCCTTAGGGATTGGTCAGTAATTTTTGGGTTCCCTGTCAACCTGGACCTCTCGTTGAAGGCCCACCATCTGCTGACACCACCGTGCTCTGGTGACCCCAAATAAATCACACCTGTAAAATGGACTCACACACAGAGTAGTATAAACCAAATTGAAGTTTATATTGGAATTGGGTGTAACTGAGCCAGGAATAACACAATAACACTGATATAGACAGCAAATATGATCACTCTATTGTGAGCAAATGTAACAAAATTCACAATGAAGCAACAGTGATTCTTAGTAGGCCTGCTTTCAGAAATAATCTACGGCCTCCAGTCTGGGGGACTGTTGAATCCCCAGTGTGCAGGAATGACTGCAGGAGCGACATATCAGCATGGATGTCACATCACTACCTCAAACTCAATCTTTCAAAAACTGAGCTTGTAATATTTCCTCCTCCCCGATCCCCCACTCACGACTTTACCATTAAGATCAACAGCACAACCATTGGTCCTTCCCCTCATGCCAAGGTGCTAGGCGTAATCCTAGACTCTGACCTCTCCTTTGGGCTCCACATCCACTCACTGGCTAAATCCTGCCGCCTCAACCTCCGAAATATTTCCAAAAGCCACCCCTTTCCGACCAATGACACCACAAAACAACTTATCCACACCTTGGTTATATCCCACCTCAATTACTGCAACTCCCTCCTCACTGGTCTACCGTTACACAGGCTATCCCCCCTTCAGTCTATTATGAATGCTGCTGCTAGACTCATACACCTTACCAACCGATCAGCAACTGCTGCCCCTCTCTGCCAATCCCTTCACTGGCTTCCACTAACCAAACATATAAAATTAAAAATACTAACCACAGCTTACAAAGCCATCCACAACACTACCCCTAGCTAAATCGCCAACCTCATCCACAGATACCGCCCAAATCGCCCACTCCGCTCCTCCCATGATATCTTCCTCTCTAGCTCCCTCATCCCCTCCTCCCACGCTCGCCTCCAGGACTTCTCCAGAGCCTATCCCATCCTCTGTAACTCCCTACCACAGCATGTCCAGTGAGCCCCCACCCTGTCTGCCTTTAGGCGAATCTTTGAAAACTCACTTCTTCAGGGAAGCCTACCCCACCTCCACCTAAGAACTGTACTTGAATCACCTCCACCAGATCATCCTCTGCAGCTATCACCTTTTGAATCACCTCCCCCTTCCTTTAGATTGTAAGCTACACAAGCAGGGCCCTCACATTCCTTCTGTACTGAATTGTATTGTAATTGTACTGTCTCCCTTATATTGTAAAGTGCTGCACAAACTGTTGGCGTTATATAAATCCTGTAATAATAATAATAATAATAATAATATAATGCTGTCAATAGCAGATAAGCTCAATCTGGGTCCTCAGAGCTAGATAATAAGAATTATCTTGATGTGAAATCAAGGGAATTCTCAGTTATAATTAGCAATGTCCCCTTTAAGAGCTTTATAATGTCATATGTGCGCTTGTTGGGGTCCAATTGATGTGAAGTTGCTTCAGGGGGTGGATAGTAGTTCTTTAGGATGGTCACAATAAAGATAGTGAAGCAAAAGGAGAAGATTTAACACTTCCTTGATTGATGGTAAAGAATGAATGCAAGGTTCCCTTTAACAGCTCCAACCCTAAATTGAGCTAGACGTAGTAAATAGCAATGATTGGCATAAATGTCTATGGACAAAGGCAAAGGATGAACATTAGTAAGAATCCTGCTCTACAGAAAGGGAAAGAGACTGGCTGATTCAATTGGCACTGCTGTATCTTTGATCTGTAACTGTATATCCTGTGGTCAGCTACTGCAGGTGTATTCCAACAATGGCGCTGGTATAACTAGGCCGTAAACTAGGGCAACTGTGTGTAATGTTCCCAACTATAGGCAGGTAGATAACTGAGGTGACAAACTATCAATGTTCACTTTGTCAGTGGGTGCATAGGTCTCGCTCACCCGATCACTGTGGTTCGATCTGTTTTTCCCAATGGATAGGGACAGTCTACGGGCCCTCTGGTTCAGACTTGGCGTTCTATTCTGTCTGAGTGGCCTGCTTGGCAGCATGGCAGGCCAGGAAGTCAGTAAGTTCTTTCCACTTTCTCTCTCCCTCCAGTTCTGGCTCCTCGGCCTAGTTCAGCACTTCAGCCGTCAGCACACCTCCTTCTCCTTCAATCTCCCTCCGCACTCTCTTCACCAATCTCTAGGGCTTTGATATTTATATGCCCCTGCCCACATGCAACCTCTCCTGAAATATAGCCATAGGGCTAGGCACTCTGCCTATCAGTCAAGTCCTGCGGGTCAGAAATACAAGTTCCAGAGGGCTGTTCTGTCAATGTGAGTAACCCTAAAC